ATATACACACACACACACACACACACACACACAAGAGAGAGAGAGAGAGAGAGAGAGAGAGAGAGAGAGAGAGAGAGAGAGAGAGAGAGAGAGCGCTAGAGAGAGCTAGAGAGAGCTCTTTCTAGCTAATGGAAGAAGTTCTGCTGTAGAAATTGCCTCACTAATTCTCCTTTCCTTATAGATTTATCCAAAATCGAATCCAAAAATTTGAAGAATCCTCCCGAATTACTGAAATAGCACTAGATGCTAAAGGAGATAAATAGAATTAATGAAGATTCTTTCCTTTTCTTTTTACTCTGGCATATGATCATACAAACCATAGTCTGCTTAGGACATGCCTAAGGATTTTTTTTGGGTGGGGGGAGGGGAACAAAACAAAGTTAGATCCAGTCCTGTACTTTCTTTTTACTCCATCAGGTTTGATCTTGGAATTTCCTGATGATTTGCAGTACTATCAGATCTGATCCTCCTTAGTGTTTTGGAAAACCAGCCCTTGTCAGCTGTTATCTTCTGTAACTCTTATTCAAATTTTATTCTTATCTCTCAGTTATCATACATTTGTTACTTATTTCAAACAATGTGGTTCTAGGAAAATTAGATTGTTGATAGATTTTCAGTTAAATGTCCAAGCTTTTGGGAATTGTGTGTTTAAGAAATGTATTTCTTTAAACCTTGTAAATGTTTGTGACAGTGCTCACTGGATTCATGATTAATTTCTCCTTGTTACAGTGAGCCAGAGAGCAATCTTACGCTTTCCTAAATTCCTAGTAGTTTATTTATTTACTTACTTCATGTAGAGAAATTGCCTTAATTATTAGGTAATAGGAAAGCTTCAATTAATCCCATCAATGTTGGTAACATTGTGATTGAGAAACTAATATTGGGAGCATCACTACTTCTCCCAATCCCAAACTCCAGGTTTTTTCTTTCAGCAGGATCAAGGAATAGGCCCTATCCACAACTAAAAACAGAAGCTTGGCAAGGATCTTAAAGTCCAAACTGAAGTTAGCCAAGCACAACAGTACAGATTCCTTCTTCTTTTTTTTGCTCTTGATCTGCCAATTTATAACTTTCTCCCTCATTTGCTCTTTCTCCCAATGCAGCTATCCATAACGTTACATTACATCTACATCGTTAATGCATCATTAATTGTAACAAGGAGTTGAAAATTATATTTTCAGCATGCTTAGCTTAATATTGGTTAGTAATGATTCGTGATGAATGATAGTGAACAATATAAATGTACCATGCAATTAATGCAAGGAAGAGGGAAGAATGGGGAGGGGATATCTAAATGTAGGGGATATGATTCAGATTGCATTTACATCATGCCTCTTAGAGACTAGCTTAACTGCAGGGGTTCCAGAATTTTAACTAGCAAAAGTCAATTAAACTATTTTCTATGATAACAGAATTTACATGTTTGCAAATAATTGTACTCTATTAGAAATTAACATGCTATATACTGCCTATATTATCAATTGTTGTAATACTTATTTTCATCATCAGAATGAAGGTCTCCTATAGAGGACATTTTCTGCATAATATTTACCCATGTGCCTTTATAGATTCTCCTGAATATCGATCAACTCAGATGAATCGGGATGAGAAATTCCAGGTATGAAATCAGCAGTTTCTTTAGGAACGATTATAATTATCATGAAGATTCTTCAGGGAAGAAAATTGAAGAACTGTGAATTTACAATCTTTTGTCTGATGCATTATACAGCTTTTCAAACTGTTATTGTTGGAACATAAAATAATTCCGGATGTGAAATATTATGGTTGTGTTTATTGGGGAGATTTAAAATGATATTTGTTTTCATTCACCAAATAAGCGCTTGAAGATTAATAATCACTTTGCTATAATTTACTGAGAAAAACCAAACTGTACTTGAGTTTAATGCTATTTTGCAGTTGGAACTATAATTTGAAAATAATCACTTTCACCTGATCAGCTAGAGTCTTGTTTTCTGTTGGTAAAAGATCCATTAATAATTCAAGCTATTCTGTAACACACTGAAAACAGGACAACTTGGAGAGCTTTCAGAAAAAGCTGGTAGATACTTTATTCAAAGATCTTTTTGTTCAATGCAAGGGAATATAAGTGAAAGAAACCCTTTTTTTCACTACAGGTTAAAGAACAATTGTGAGGGGAATAAATTAATACAGCCTTCCTGTGCTGCAGACAGACTAAGGGATGGAAAGATCTATGGGAAAGCGTTCAGAAAATACAAAATCTAAGATGTGACAGATGGCAATTTTAGTGTTCTTTCAAAAATCTGCCAAATCTTTTTGGCAATTGATAACAGCAATCAAGGAAATATGGGTATGTGTATATTTGAAGGGAAATGATGACGTCCAGGACTTTTTATTTGTAATTAGCCATCAAATTTATAAAGTCCTTTTAAAAAAGAATTTAAAAATGGTTGAAAATGATTGCTAGCCCGTAGTACGTCTTAAAGGACTTGGAAAAATAAAGTCTACTACTACAGCAAGTACCTAATGAGGGATCTTTGGAAATAAAGAAATAATAGGCTACAAAAGTGGTGACAGATCCCAGATTCCCAAAATGAAACTCCAGCAAGCGAATTTCAGATATTAGTTGGAATCAATTAGCTAGATCTTTCTTATGCGGTTGCCCAGAGCTACTTTTCTCTTTTTCTTTTCTTTTTTCAAAACATACAAGGGAGAAAAACATGGAATTATTGCAGTGCCTTTCAGTCGTAAAAGGCAATCTCTACTTGGAAGCATGGTTCCTATGCCTGACCAGGAATGACTATGCAGTTGTTCGTTAACTTGATAGTAAAAGTGAAATTGAGCCTGGTACGGAATCTAAAATCAGTGACTTAGCGTAATATGTTCCACTCAAAAATTGGGCTTAATGCCATAGAAAGGTTGCTGTCATAATACAGAAATCACCCTACTGGAAGGCCAGTGCAAGATACTTCTGCTCTTTCTAACACATTATCCACTTTGGGTTTTGCACACTGATTTATTCAGACTTGGAGAAAATACAATCTGTACCAAATACTGAAAGAAAACACCTCAGACTTCCTATTCTGCAGATTAATTTAAATTCAATCAAAACAAGAACAAGGCAAGAATAGGAGTACTGAATTTATTTGCCAAGGGGTCTGAAATCCATACATGGTTTTGAGTTCAACATGTACATTTTTAACCATAGGTTTCTAGCATTCTGCTTATTTAGTATTTACTTAATCTGTGTGTGCTTTTTTTAATGAATGAAAAATGTTATTTTTACAAAATTCACATTTCTAAAATGTTTCTTTAAAAAAATATAAATATGCATTTAATGATACGTAGACAATGTTTATGGACCTCCCTACATGCTTAGACGTTGTTTTCATTTTGTTCTTTGGAAAGGGTATACTTATATTTTTTGTTTATGGATCCTTGGGTGAGTGTCTTTGGCTTACTTTTGTTCTTGTTAATACACTGGTGCCATCTGCTGGATTTAGATTTATGGAGATGCCCTGAACACAATCATTGGTTGCTAGCTTGCATATATAAACAGCACTTAAATTGAATTTTATTCTGAGGCTCTAATTCTTGAAGCACTTACCTGAAGATAGTCCATCCCATGATATTGTTACTTCTGCTGACTTGATTAGAGTTTATACAGTGGAGGATCTTTTCTTCCTCTTGAAGAAAAGATCTGAGTTGCATATTATCAGAGTATAGGTAGTCCCCGACTTATGACCACAATTGAACCCAAAATTTATTTTGTTAAGTGAGACATTTGTTAAGTGAGTTTTGCCCCATTTTACGGCCTTTCTTGCCATAGTTGTTTAGTGAATCACTGAAGTTGATAAGTTAGTAACCCGGCTGTTAAGTAAATCTGGCTTCCCCATTGACTTTTCTTGTCGTAAGGTCGCAAAAGGTGATCACATGACCTTGGGACACTGCAATGGTCATAAATATGAACCAGTTGCCAAGCATCTGAATTTTGATCACAGGAACATGGGGATGCTGCAACAGTTGTAAGTGTGAAAAAAGGTCATAAGAGATATTTTTCATTGTAACTATGAATGGTCACTAAGCGGATTGTTGTAAGTCAAGGGCTACCTGTATATGGCCATTTCAGAACAGGGCCATCAGAGATGGACTGCTTCAATCCAGAGAGTGTTAAAATGTGGGTATCTCTTGGCTGCCCTCCTCTGGATTGACAGCTGGAAGTGATACGGATTTTGGCAGTGCAGATATCGTAGATGTATTTCAGAACTATGGAATGATAAAGGACGTTTTGTAATATCCCCAAAAATAAGGGATAATGGAAATGTTTAAAACCCTTGCCCTATATTATTCTTAAAATAATTAGAGGGAAATTATGATTATTATTCTGCTTCTGATTCAACTTTTCCATTTTTTTTGTCTTTAAGTACAACCAGTTAAACTTTATCTGCAAATATGATTTACAGCACTGGGGTGTTGGGCCCAGGGTGCAATGTTACATACTGTAATTAAAGCTTGGCTGTTTGAATTCTTGATACTGACTCTCATGTTTCTTTAATTCCTCCTTTGCAATACCTTTGTTTACAGGGTTTTAAAAATCCAAATGAAGTAGAATAGAAAGCAAGGTTCTCAGTCTAGTCAGAATACTATTTTCATCCTGGCTGAAATGAGAAAGTTCATAAAACAAAGTATTTTTAATATGCCGACTCTCTAAACCTCTCAGAGGGCTGTAAAGTACTATGAAGCAGTATATAAGTCTAAGTGCTGTTGCTATTAATCATTTGCTGAGATCTGAATTAAATATGCTGTAGTCATTGGGACAATTAAAATGCTGTATTAATTATTGACCACACTTTCTTTATAGGTGTCAATTACTGCTGATGATAACTGCAAATTCTTATGTTGGTCCAGAGAGAGACTTGCGTATTTTCTAGAATCAGAACCTTTTCTTTTTGAAATATTTAAGTATCTTATTGGAAAGGATATTACAAATAAGTTATACTCATTAAATGATCCAACCCTAAGTGATAAGGTAAGTATTTCCCTTTTGACTTCCATGCATTTTATAATTGTTTTCTAGATGAGCTAAGTTGTGCTCCCTTCTAAAACGCACAATATTCTTTCCCACACAGCTTCTTAAAATACAATTGATACAGGATGCCTATTAATAACTTTTTATTGAATGTGGTTTCTGTCAATTATCTTATCTTAAATCCAAGAGAAATTAAATACAACCACTGGATGATGGCAATTAAATGTTTTTTGAGGGAACTAAATAAACAACTACTAATAGTTGGAATGCTTAATTTTATGTAATTCTGTTGTCATGCAGAACAACACTTAACAGTTATATTTTTGAAATTGTTTAATTATCAAACATCATTGGGTTTTGGGGATTGGATCAAGAACTCATCAAAACTAAGGAGGATTTTAAACTGTTTTGACATTTTACCTTGACTCTGTGCTCATTAATATCTATATGGCACTTTCCATCATAAGATATTTAGAGATATTGAATAGATTTCTTGTTCTACATGGCATTGGAAATTCCTTGCCATAAACTGAACTGTATAGATTTTAACATGCTTCCACTTGGATATCTGATTAGATATCTTAATGCAGCAATGCTCTTTTGAAAGTAAAGGCTTTCTTCACTATTAGAGAATTTGGGAGCTGGAGTTTTAAATAATAATTTAAAGAAAAAGTATAAAGAAACCACTTCTGCATGACTGTGAAGAAATTCCACTTGGGCACATCCATGAAGTCACAGGGCACCAAATTCTTTACTTTTATAGTTCCATTGGGATAAACTTGTCATAATTAATTGGGCCATACAAACTTACATAATGCCACAGTTAATCAAACTCTATGGCTCATATCATATGTAATTTTTCTCCTTCTAAACACGCTGTTAGTATAATTGTCTACTTGTTTTTAATCATCTCCTGATTTACATGTGAAAAAAGAACATGAAATAGAGAGCAGCAGGCTATCTAAAACATAAAATAAACTAGCTAAACCTAAAATGTATATTTTAAGTCTTCTCCCTCCTATATGATTGTTTTTAAATATTATCCATCGGAATGCCCCTGCCATGGCCTATAAATTTGTGGCAAAACTGGAATTCTTTGGCTAGAAGTGGCCTAATTACTTTTTAAGATTTTTTTAATCCTAGCATCATTGGTGTAGAATAATTAGTGTAATTCAGCTCCCCCTGCCTGTACCCCAAAATAATAAAACTAGACTTCTTCTATTGAAGATCTTTTGTCCTGTCTGCTCCCGGACATCTTACAGTAATGTAATATTTTAGCCCTGAGGAATTATATAGCATCAATATCTGTCTTTCTAGTTTTTGCTGAGCATGACCAATAGAGAGGGAAGCTGTCAGTTCAGCTGAGACCAACAGGTTTCTACCCTGTTATACGTAAATTGCCTCAAAGAGTTCTTATTTTTTTTCTCATAATAAGTTATAATTAGCAGACATTCTTTTATCCTATTCTATCTCTCGTGGAGTTGTTGGGATGGTAAAACATTCTCTTAGCAACTTAGAAGACATGATGACAGGATATAAACGTAAGCGATGAATATTTATTAGCGTCTAGGACTGATGGAGAATTGTGTGGTTTTTATTTTCTGTGCAGACATCCCAAAAAATAGATCGCCAGCCCAGTCTGTGTTCCCAACTGTCTGTGATGCAAATGAGGAATAGCATGGCAAGTTCAAGTGATGGTGAAGACGGATTAGAAAATTTTCTCCGTGGAACTTCTACTGCATCTACCCTTCGTGAGTCATTAACTAGTCAGTCAACATTTCCAGGCATCACTAAACATTGTAGTCAGTGGCCAAAATCATGTTACTTTTGGGGAGAAGAGTTGGGAAGGGGAAAAGGGAGTCATGTAACAAGGTGCATCTGAATGCATCACTCTTCTGCTTCTATTAGGGCCAGTACTTGCATTCCCATCACTTAGTAGTTACAGTCAAATAGCTCCTTTTCCATGTGTGACTAAACATTACAGACACATTTTTCATTTGAATGTCTCTTCATATATATATATATATATTAATGTGGGGTAATATCTGCACTTAACTGTTTGTTTTCAAATATGGTGCTCAAGCCTTTGTGTCCTTCTCTGCTGCAAAGTTCAGAGAAACCATCCTGTTCATGGTAAGAGAAAATGAACATATTATCAGATTACTTAAGACATTTTCATTTAAAAAACACCCTATAGCACATACGAGTGTTTTGCATTAGTATTGATCTAAGAGTTTGGATATCTGCTAAGCACTGTGTGACCTGCTTACTGGCAAGAATTTGCCCTCTGCATTCACCTCTGAAAGTGTGAATTTCACTACTTCGATTTTTATGAAAATTAAACCTCATCCAATATTCTCATTGTAAATCAGAGGTGTCTAATCTTAGGTCTTTGGGATAGTGTGAGCCTGAAACACCTTTAACCGGTAAGCTCATGGAAAACTCCAAAGTTGTTACCAAATTTTAATTTTTAATGTGAGAGAAGAGGGGAGACTAAAGATGTAATTGGGGAACTCTGTTCAATTTTAATTAAATGTAAAATCCAATAAGTTAAAATGAGAACCTACCTGGAGTGCTTGTTGTTAGTTGTGAAGTCGTGTCCAACCCATCACGTCCCCATGGCCTTTCTGTCCTCTACCATCCTCTGGAGTCCATTTAAGCTCATGCCTACTGCTTTGGTAACTCCATCCAGCCACTTCATTCTCTGTCATCTCCTTCATCTTTTGCCCTCAGTCTTTCCCAGCATTGGGCATGTTCTCTAGTGAGTCCTTCCTTCTCATTAGCAGCGCCCAGGAAATCCATGAAAGGCTAGGATGGTCTGTTACTAGAAAAGGTCTGGGCCCTCCCTTATAGAAATTAGACCCCTTTACTCCAATCAATCAGTGTTTCATGATGTCTTAAATTGCAACAAAAACTAAGGAGCTAATTCTACACTAAAAATACATAGCACTAAAACTACTAATAAAAGCATGTGTGTATTTAATATTTATTGATGTAAATCTGATTCTTGTGTTTTTAAAAATAAACCAACAAGGATTCACTTATGGAATGAATCCTTATGGACTGAATTTAAAGTATGTTTTTTTGTCAACAGCATGACGTATTCATCAACATTGTTCAAAAATGGTATGAAATGGACTGAATGTCACATATTTGAGTGAAATAATAGTTTGGGTTGTTCAGAATTAAAGGTTGTATCAGCGTACAAAAGCTGTATCCATCCTTCCGAGGTTGGTAAAATGAGGACCCAGATTATTGAGGGCAATACACTGACTCTGTAAACTGCTTAGAGAGGGCTGTAAAGCATTGTGAAGTGGTATATGTGCTATTGCTATTGCTATGTAGACTTGTATTCAACTGTAAAAAGTCATAGAACAATTTATGCTGATTCCATAGATGGTTTTAGGGTCACAATATCATGCTCATTTGTAATGTTAATTTTAGATTAGTAGGAATCTATCTATCTATCTATCTATCTATCTATCTATCTATCTATCTATCTATCTATCTATCTATCTATCTATCTATCATCTATCTATCTGGCTGTGTGTCTGTGTATGTTCCAGCATAAATCTGGAATGCCTCGAGCAATTTCAACCAAACTTGGTACACAGATTATTTCCTCTCTGGAAACAAATACTGTCAGGGTAAGACACCCCTAACGCCCCTCAAGGTGTGTGTTCTGTTAAGATACAGCCTGTTGTGCCTTAAAATGGCTTTTACTGTACAGCCGTAAAATGGTTTCTATTGTACAGCGCAATGGAGTTGCCATGGTAATGGCTTAACAGTACTACACAAGGGGGCTCCCTCTGATAAGGGGGAAAATCCAACATCAGAAATTAAGTTTGGTCCAGACATTTTCCTCCTGTAAATAAATACCTGGGCAACACCGGGTTATCCACTTTTACTGTAACCACATTACACTCCCTGAAAAAAACACTAGCTTTTCCCCATCTGGGGGACTGCGATTCCTAAAATTTCCAGATAGAAACTTTTTGGAGAGGGTATACTAGACTATGTGGTCCATGCCTCACCAGGCCACCTAAAATACACTGTGGATTTTTTTCCCTGCTGCTGGTACTTAAAGTGTACTTCAAAGGCCCCAGAACTGAAACCCATGTGTGGCATGTAGCCATTGCACCCCTTTGGTGTTAGCTGGCTGATACTTAAGCTTTTGAAATATTTTTCCATTTTGGGAATTCTGAAGGATTTCAAGGGGTGAAATGAAGCTTGAGGGGCCTACCTATTACACTACAAACATGCTGAAGTTTAGAAGTGTGAAAGAATGCTTCAGTTGCATTATGGGCAAACCGATTGCAACTATTGGTCTCTCCTGCAGCTTGCTACAACTTTATGGTGCTTCCTGAATTCAAAACATGTATATTTTTCTGGGATCATATAAACTACTCTATGTTAGGCCTAAACAATAGGCAGCTTCTTTAAGGAAGCACTGATAGGTGTGATGTACATGCCCCTCCAAAGCACCCTTTGAGCATAATCCTGAACTGCAGTACATCCTTACATTACACTTCTTGAGAGGAGAAACTAGCTTCTCCAAAAATTGAGCTGATTTTCTTTGCTTTTTTGATACTTGAACTAAACTATTCTGTAATCTTCCATCTTCTATTTAAAAATAATAATCACATATCTCCTTGTACACATACAGTGGTATGCAGGTGCACAATAATAGAAGGACAGCTGAAGCAGAGGTGTTCAGCAGGTTCTGACCAGTTCTGGAGAACCGGTAGCGGAAATTTTGAATAGTTTGGAGAACCACCTCTGACTGGCCCCGTCCCCATCTATTCTCTGCCTCCCGAGTCCCATCTGATTGTGAGGAAATGGGGATTTTGCAGTAACCTTCCCCTGGAGTGGAGTGGAGTAGGAATGGAGATTTTACAGTATCCTTCCCCTGCCATGCCCACCAAGCCACACTCACTAAGCCACGCCTCCCAGCAAGCCATGCCCACTGAACTGGTAGTAAAAAAAATTGAATCCCGCCACTAAAGGTTGTCAGGTGATTGTGAACTTTTGTGGTGATGAGAACAAATGAAGCTTAAAAACAGCAAATCTTTAAAAAAAATTGCAAGAATGGCCCAGCTGATTTTTTTTTTGAATGAAGTTTCTGAATAGCAGGCAAAGCTTGGAACAGTCCTCCTAACATTGGGCAGCCCTGCTCGAGTTGAGAAACAGAATTCCGTGTTGTATTTTGAGTGTCATAGGAGGCATAGACATAACTTCCAAATCACTCTTATTACTTAGTGTATCCATTCCATAAGGCATATGTAGATAGGAATATCTTATGTAATTTCACTTTATTCATTGTGAGCTTCATGACCTTCTCATGGGAGGAAAAGGTGAAAAGTATTTTCCAGTGCTTCAGAAAAGTAATAGCGATCGTATCTGAAAAGCAAAGCAGGAAACATCTTAATGAGGATGTCTCCAGTTTTTGCAGGAAGTGAAGAAATGCATCATGTACAGGCCTTTTTCATGCATAGCCATGCAGTTATCGGCATGTGAATTTATCCCCACAGGGGAAATAGTTGAACCTTTCCTTCCATCAAACAGATGCACTTTATGTAATTACTGTGAAGATGTGTTCTTTCTCAACCCTGGGAGGCTCCAGGGTCAAAATGCCCTGACACTGCATGCTCTTTGCAAGCACTGTGGAAAGCATTTGTCTGCATGAAGCCTATGCTGCAACCCTCTATATGCATTTACCTGAGAGTAACTGACCTGAGCTCAGTTGAATTACTTTTGAATAAACCAGGCATAGCCATTCATTCGTTCGTTTGTTTGTTCATTTGCTTTTATATCCTGTGTTTTTATTAATATTGAATGTTTCCAGTAACTAACAACTAACATTTTTTTTTAAAAGTCAATAACAATTAACTGATTCTGATCATGTATTGTGCAAGTAGTTTAAATGTAAATAAAAGTTAACTACTACATTTCCTATCTGTTTTGCTTGAATCTTTGCTTCTGAAAAAAAATATCAAAGTACAGAATACTATTTTATTTACTAACGCAGGGCAAGTTCTTATTATATTTCATTGCTTCTTGAGGTGTATTTGTAATAATTATCAAATGCTAAACTGTGCATAAAATGTTGAAAACAGCATTTTTCTTTTAAATACCAAGGGGAATGGGAGATGGAATATTTGTTGCAGGTTTTTATGCTATTTTTTAAAATTTTATAAAATAAAAATAAATAAATGTAAACGTGTAATCTTCCCAAGCTAAACCTATGCCATATAGCATAATACCATTGTTTAAATTACTTACTTCAAACATTTTAAAGTTAAAAAGTAACATATAAATAATTGAGAACATTGGATTTCCACCTTTCTCAACTTGATGTCAACTTGGAATTTTAAGACATTGTAATTCCATTATACTTGGATTGACATAGATTGTGGATGTATTGTCTATATAATGCTTTGAAACGCAAGAAGAGCTGTTCAGAATGAATGGTAAGAAATTTTATTTTTTTAATTTTGTTTTTCTATCTCTGGCACTCGATAGGCTGTCTTACTCAAATCATTCAATTACTGCAGGGTATTTTTACTGTTCTACACTGGTTTTAATTGTTATATTGTTTTTAAATGATTGCTTTTTGAAAATGTTGGCAGGCCAACCATCTCCTTGTTTAAGAACATCATCCAAAATGAAACCAATTGAAGAAAGTGTGGAAGATGATGTCTTTGAAGCTCCATCTGCCACACCATCTAAAGGTCATGAGTGACTTCACAGG